AAAAATTTAAAAAACAAACAAAAAAAACACCCAGATTATTACAATAAATCCTATTACCTGCACTTTCATTTTATTACTAAGCTTTCCTTTCCTGAACTTAAAGATAGGAGGGCATTATTTCCTAAATGACCAAGAGAATAAGTAATATATTCAACCCTACCTTGAAAATCTAAAATTCATAGCAGGCCCCTGAAGCTTACGTATCTTGACAGAATGGTTGCGAGAATTACGGAAGTTAACTAGGAATGCAAACAAGTAATGAAGTTTTATTAAAGTACAAAAGCAAAAAGCAAACAAGTGTACCTCTCTGAACATATATTTGCATGCCTTTATCTCCATCCCTAATGCCAGCATTCTATTCCTGGCCTTTTATTTTAAATGGTCTCCCACATCCATCTTTGTCTCCCCTCCATTCGGTTTTCCATAGAGCAGCCAGAGTGATCTTTTTAAAAATTCTCATGTTTTATCACAATAAAAAAGATGGTAAAATGTAAAAAACAAGAAAATAAAAAAATAAGTAAAAATACAAATATGATAGTACAAAATACGAGATTCAAAACCAGTTCAATACCTCCCCATCAATCTCCGGGTTAAGCATGAATATTTTCTTAAAGATCTCGCATTCCCAGGAGGACCAGGCTTACTTCCTCATCAGCATCAGTTCCACCTTCCTCCTTCCTTTCTGTTCTGCTGACTCACAAGCTTTCTTTCTATTTCTCAAATATGCCCCTTCATATCTCAGAGCCTCTGGACAGGCTAATCCCTCTGCCAAGTATGCTCACCCCTGCCCAATCTCCACACATTTCCCTCCTACTAGTAAAATAACAGACTAGAAAAGTACTTTAATTCCTAAGTAAATTAAATCTAATTAGCAACATTAGACACTGTAAGAAATAACTCCCCAAATGGTATTCAAAATGTAAGGTATGACGGAGTATATGAGGGCATGTTTTGAGGACAAGGTATGACTGGAAAAATAAAAACAAACCAAGACTAGTACCGACCTCACCAGGGAGTCTTAGTACTTTAGAACTTCAAGGGATCTGAAATAATTACAAGTCCCTATCATTGCAGCGCCAGGCTTCAATTACTTATTCTAGATTATATAGCTAGTGAGATCAAGGCTTTGTTTAAAAAAATAAATCAGGGTTCTTTATTTTCAATCCAGTTTTCTTTACCTTAATAAGAACACAAAACTTCCTGACTCTTAAAGTTACAAACAAATTGGAAGAAATGGGAGAAAAATTTTAGATATGCAGTTTTATATAACCATATTAAAGGAAATGGTATTAGTGAACTATAACACTACATAAGAAGTCCAGTTCTATATCCTGTGTCCCAATGCTTCAAAGAGGTTAAATATCCAGATGTTCTAAAGGATGTGGCTCCCATACAGTGAAGAACTTAAAAGAAACACACATAAAGCACATTCACCTATTTTAGAGATTAAGTATAAGGAACACAGAGCGGGAAGCCTTAAACAAACTACAGGAAAGGAAAAAAAATAAATAACCTGGGGCTAAGTGTCCATCCTCTTAGGTATAATGTTAAGTATTGAAAAATTAAAGTAATGCTGCTAACTATTTTAATAAACAAGATTTCTAGTAAAATGTACCTGACAAATGAAACATTCCTAGACTCAATAATGAAGTATATTAAAATTCTGTGGGAAAAAAGGTAACACGTAAGTCATAAACGGGAACTCAATCAACAAGAATTTATTGACTATTATTCACTATTTCATCATGTACAATACACTCTATTAATCATTATTTTCCAGGATCACTTTCCAAAGACATAAAGGGATAGTGGCTGCCTATACAAAACAGGTCATCTGTAGTTGAAAAAAAAATGACTCTTAAATTTATATGTTCCTAAGAACGTAAAAAACAGAGAAACAGGAAAATAATTCAGTTTAAAATAAGCCATCTTAGAGATCTTTATTGCCCATTACCAAATGTTTCTATCTCTGGCTATAAAAGTAATATATTCCCATTTTGTAAAGTGTGATTTCCTTCTTTTGGTTTTCAGCATCAGTTATAATCAGCCAGAAATCCACAATCCAAAGACCAGTTAATATTTTAGTGTATTTCCTATTAGTCTCTTTGCTATGCATGCATATTGACAGTTTTTTACATAGCCAAAATCATACACTATATTGCATGATTTTTATTCTAAAATATTTCCTAACTGTTTAACAACACTTCCTAAATACTGTAATGATTACACAACTACTTCAGGGGTCAGAAAACTTGCTCTCTAATGAGCCAAAGAGCAACTATTTTAGGCTTTGCAGACAACACTGTCTGGGGTCACAACTAGTCAACTCTACCACTGTAGCACAAAAGCAGCCATGGACAAAATGCAAACCAGTGTGACTGCCCAATAAAATTGTATTTACAAAAACTGACTACAGTACACTCCATTTAATAATAAAATTACAAATAACCTAATTTAATAATGGGGAAAAGATCTGAACAGACATCCTCTAAAGAAGCTATACAAATGACTTATAAGCACATGAAAAGATGCTCAATATCATTACCTATCAGGCAAATGCAAATCAAAACCATAACGACATATCAGTTCACACCCACTAGGGATGGCTGTAATCCAAAAGACAGGTTAAAATCATGGGGCACCTGGCTGGCTCAGTCAGAAGATCATGTGATTCTTGATCTCAAGGTCATGAGTTCAAGCCCCACGTGGGGTAGAGAGATTACTTAAATAAATAAAACTTGAAGGAAAACAAAAGACAAGTATAAGCGAGAATGTGAAGAAAACGGAACCCTCATACAGTGTGGGCGAAAATATGCAGCCACTTTGAAAAACAATTTTAAGTTCCTCAAAGGTTAAAGAGTTACTACACGACATAGAAATTCTACTCCTATATATCCAAGAGAAATGAAAACATAAGTCCACAGAAAAACTTGTATATGAAAGAAATTCTACTCCTATATATCCAAGAG